GGTTCGAATCACATAATAATAATAATGATGATGTTGAGGATAAAGATTTTTTTATTATCCAAAAAAAGAAGAAGAAAATTGAAAAGTTCATCAAGTTAAACCATAATAATCATCATTGTGAAAAGATGATGGTAATGATAATTATAAACATAAAAAAAAATGTTTTTTTCTTTCTTCAAATTATTCTTTTTTGCTATATGAAAACTCTCGGTATTATTATCGGATTTGTAACAACAACAGAATAAAGTTATCATGTGAACAGAGAAAGAAAATTTTCGGGAATTTTTTTTCTGTTGTCATCATCATGGTGATAATGATGGTAATTACCAAAAAACATTTCCGGATGTTGTTATTTTAATTTTCAAAGACAATAAAACTTGTGTTTTAGTGTGTGTAAACCTCACTAGTTTTCGGTCTAAACAGCTGTCATTTTCGTGGTTTAGGTTGATCTAACCACATCATTTTTGCTTAGTTTGGTGAGTAAACAAATACACCATACTTACATAATAAAGCACATCGGTCCAACCTTCCTATAAGATTTGAATATGGGAAAAACGAGAAAAGAAAAGGGAAAAATTATTTATTTATTAATGAAATGCAAAATAATAATGAGAAAGAAATGTATATTTACATTAGTAACACATTGAAATACGGTCAACATAGCCAAACCAAAATTATCAAAATTTGTAATACCATCATTTGGTCCTTCATAATATTCACGACAAACATATGGATCAGGTGATTCAATATCCTGGCACATGTATTCACCACCACAAAGCATTGGTTCTTTCATCATTTCATCTAATTTAAAAAATGAAAATCAATCCAAATCAATCAATCAATTGAATAAGAAGAAGCAAAAAACATTTTCCATAGAAAACAACTAATGATGATCACTTTTTCTTCATCATCATCAAAAAGTAATTATCAATTGACAAAAACAAACAAAGAAAATGAACCTAGAAACTAGACTAAATTTACCCAGAATTGTTCAGAATATAAACAGAGAGATAAAGAAAGAATCTAATATACGAATTTGTATTTAATTATCATTCATCCATTTACCAATGGAAAATGGATTCTCAATAGAATTCCTAATATATATAGCTAAATGGCTAAATGTGTTTGTTTGTGTTTGTCTATTTACAATTTACATTCAACTCTTTTTTTTTCATTTACATTTCCACTTGACTTTACTTTATTTATCTGTATTCTGCACTGTTTTCTACAAACAAACAAACAAACAGAAATCGAAATTAATTGTTCCCAAGTGAAATTTTCAAAAAAAAAAATTGAAAGAAAAAAAATGAGATAAAAAGGGTAAAATGAAAACTTACTTGTAATATTATTAAAACAAGTTCGATGCATACGACCAACAAATAATTCTAATCCAATAATAGCATAAATAACAATAACAAATATCACAAGTAATGCAATATGTAATAAAGGCACCATTGCTTTGATGATTGAATTGAGCACAACTTGTAAACCTTGAATTGGGGGAAAAAATGAAATTTTTTTAAATTAATTATTTGGAAAATTTTTGTAAAATCAAATTAATGAGAAAATGGAACTTTTTTTCTTCATTTTGTGGATTTAAAATCGAAAACAAATTTGAAAATTTTTGGTTTTTGTTTTTTTTTTTGCATTTTCAAAAATTTTTTGTATATAAACAATCATGGGTAATACATGTTTTGGTACGAATACTGATCAAAATGAACATTCAACAACAACAATAGTAGTATCAAATAGAAAAACAATAAAAAATAATAATCGAAAACCAAAAAAATCAACAAAAAGTGATGATATACAACAACAACAACAACAACTAATACAACAACAACTAGCTGAATCATTAAAATCATCATTTTATTCAGATATAAATCAAAAAACATTTGAATTTCATAATATACATGGAAAAAATTTACAACGAACAAATGAATTATTACGTTATTGTTTACAATGTGATACAATACAACAATGGAAACAATTATCATCGAAAACATCATTATTTCATAATAATCCATTATTTCGTGATCAATCATTAACAAAAACAACAACAAATAAACCAATTATACAATTAAAAACTGATCAAGTATTTACAAGAAAAAAATTACAACAAATGCGTTCAAATTTAGATCGTTTACCACCGGATACAGCATTAATAATAATGCCACCATTTTCAAATCTTGATATGATTGTACCAGGTATTTATCAAACAGGTACAACTGGTTTAGTTATTGAAACATTAAATGAATTACATATAAAATTAATTATAAATGCAACATATGAAATGCCATTATTTAAACATACAGATATAATAACATTTCGTGTACCTATTGAAGATGATTCTAAAGAACCGATTGAAAATTATTTTGATGATGTTGCCGATCTAATGGAAGCAACAAGATTACGTGGTTATGGTTCAATTGTACATTGTATGGCAGGTGTATCACGTTCAGCAGCATTAATATTAGCATATATGATTAAATATACAACATTTACATTATTTGAAGCATTTTTACATGTAAAATCATTACGACAACCAATACGGCCAAATATTGGTTTTATACAACAATTAATTGAATATGAATCACGTTTAAATAATGGTCGTAAAACAATTGAAATTGAACAGATTAATTATGAACAAAATCCTGATATTAAAATTATTGTACCAAAATTTTATCGTACACATTTTCCTGAATTATATGATGTTGAAGTTCGTAGACAATTATCATCATGGTATACAAATACTAATACTAATACTAATAACAACAACAACAACAACAACAACAGTAATGATGATATTAATAATCCATCTAGTACACAGACAACAACACATGATTAAAATATATTCAAAAACAAAAAAAAACAAACAGATTTGAAAAATGAATTTCAAAAATCAATAACATTAACTGTTTTTCTCATTCTCTGTGTGTGTTTATCCCTTTAAAAGGAAAAAAAATTTTCATATATAGAAAAATAATAAACTTAACCGATCCAGAAAGCATTTTGCCTGAACAAAAAAAATGTCTTTGACATTCATGAAAAATAAATTTTTTTGGCGATAATCAATCATTATTGATTTATTTGAAGCTATTATGTTATGTTGTTGTCATCATCATCATCATCATCATTGAATTTGTGACCATTTGTTCCAGAATTTCTGTTCAGTTCTTTTGAATTATTTTCATGTTGAATGTATATGATTAGGATGATGATGATTACGATGATGATGATGATGATGATGGCAAATAGGGCCACCATACATTTTTCATCTTTTTTTTTGGTTGGAATGGGGGAGGGAAATATTACTGTCTGGAAAAGAATCCAGAATTGATGGATAAATTCCATTGCGCTAGGAATTGAATTGTTTGAAACTTATGTTATTCTATTCATTGCTACTACTACCCCTTTACACAACCAGCCACTACAACTAATGAATATTTTTTTGGTTTGAATTTCATCTGATCTTGATCTGACTGATCGAAAAAGATGATGATGAAAAACAGAACAGAAATGAATGAATGAATCTATCTAGATTATATTTGATTCATTCAACTGAAATTCTGTTGAATTTTTTTGAAAAAAAATTGATTCTACCAAAGAATTTCTCCCTTTCTTTCTTTTTGGTCAGTTTTCATCTGATCACAACATCATTATCTATTGGCCATGTTCGGGTTACCAAATAAAAAAAAACTAAAGTAAATATGAAGAAAAACATTGTTATTCGGATGACTTTAGTCTTTTTTTTCCCGTTGTCATTGCGAGTGCAATAAATAAATGTTCCACAAAAAAATAATGACAATTTATATGTGTGTGGGTCTCTCTGTCCCTCTGTGTGTATTGTGCATCCATTTTTACAATCATCAATCATCATTGGTCATTTGTACAATGGCCAGAAATGAAAAAAAAAATATAGAGATGTTTTTTGACCAAAATTTTTTTTGTTGTTGTTGTTCTGTTTATTTCGGAATACGAATTTGGCGAGATAACACATCATCATTGTCCCATGCAGTAAATTTTGTTTTTCGTTTGTGTTTGGAATATCATTCTTGGTAAAAGAATGAATGAAACGGGAAAAAAATAAATGTTTTTTTCGTTTGTTTTGGTAGTTTTGTCCGAAAAACGAACAAAATAATCTTATATCAATTCATCAGATCAAATACAGATGATTATGATGATGATAAAATTTGAATAAAAATTTATGACCCAGATATAAATTGTGAATGGTGGTAGATTTTTCGGTCGTTTTGGTTCGGTTGAAAAGAATTGAAACAAATTCAACGAGAAATTTGATCTAATAATCGAATCAAAATAAAAAACAAAAACACAGTTTCCATTTTCGTTGTTTTGGTTCAGGTTTCGTCAAAATTCACCGTAGTTCATGATGATGGATTCGGGCGATAGAAAAAAAAGTGCAGTCGAAATAGCCGAACTGTATCGATCAAGTTCATTTCCCCATGATGTTTTAGTTTGAGATTTTTTTGTTTTCCCAAAAAATATTCTCCAATTCATTTGATCGATTAAATCGTATGTTTTTAATTTGGTTGATTCGTTCAAATCGATGATTATGATGATGATGATCAATTTGTTTGATCGAAACAAATAAAAAATGATTTTCACCATCACCACCCATCCATTTCGCCGTTTTCATCAGTTGATGTTTTAAGTATTTAAAACGATTTGTCCAAAATAAATTCGTTCATCTAATTCCATCAATAGAACAAGATATAGCGCAAAAGCATTTACCATTTTTGAAACTTTAATCTCCATACTATGGTCCATTTCCTTTTTTTAAATTTCGATAACAGTAGTAAGTTTAAGTTGTTGTTGTTGTTGGTGATTTCAACTTGATGGATGCGATTTTCGTTTTGTTTGAAGGGTAAATAATGAATGAATGAATGAATGACTTGAATTTTTCTCTCTGTATTAAATTTTCGTTTCATTTTTCCGTTATTCGTTATTTAGGGATGTTTAATTTTCATTTTTTCTTTAATTTCTAAACCAAAATGGCACAAAATTCAAGAATAAATTTGATCGGTGATGGAATAAATAGAACGAAAAAGAAAGAGAAAGAAAGAAAAACCTAAATCCATTGGACAAACATTTGATCTTTTGGTTTTCACATTTTTTTTGGTTTGTTTGTTTTGTTTGTTTGATTCGATCAAGTTAATCAAAAGTAAGTATGGTATTTTTGGTCAAAAAATCTTTTGGGCCATGATTTTTTTTTGTTTGGTCACTCAAATTTCAAACTTTGTCAATAATAAAGATTTTTAGAAGAAAAAAGATGCCAAATAAAGACAGAAAGATGAAAACATTTGTTTTGAAAATGTAAATAAATATTTTCTGACAAATCGAGAAAGAAAAAACATACATAAATTGAATGAAGGAAAAATGGAAAATTTCTCAAATGGAAAATTTTGGTTCCGTCAATCTAATCGAATGAAAATTGAATAAGAATACAAACAAACAAACGAAAAACAAAACAATATTTTTTTTCTGGAGATATTATCAATTGGAAATCCAAAAAAGTAAAAAGCTTTTTTTCTATATTTTTTNATTAATTTGGCGCGTTTTCTTACTTTAAACAAATTATTGACACAATTCTAATATGTTTAATGTGAATCGTATTCTTATTTCCAAAATTCTTGTTCATGTTAGGTTTGGTTTGATAAATTTAATGTTTTCTCAATTCATGAAAATATTTGGCGCGTTTTCTTTCTTTCAACAAATTATCGAGACTATTTTAATATGATCAATGTGGATCATATCAACATTTTCTTGATTCTTGTTCATGTTAGGTTATGATTTGCCGTTTTCACTATCCGTGAAATGATTTGGCGCGTTTTCTT